CCAGGCTGGGCATTGGAAGACACAGATAAAAGCCATGTGAAGGGTCACTGCCCAGCCCCCTCCCCAGACCTCAGTGTACCCATTTGTAAACGATGACCTGGACAATAGCCACAGGACCCAAAGCAGATGTGTCAGCCAGGAAGGGCCCCAGGTGAAACCATACCAAAGACAATCACAGCAGTGGCAGGTCCTTCTGAGGGCATGGGCACTGCCTAGGTTCCATCCCCTCACCCACTCACCAGCAGAGAGATGGTGGGAAAGTCGCTTGGCCTCTCTCAGTCTGAGTGTCCCCATCTGCAAGATGGATGATGTCACAGCAGCTGCCTCACAGCTGAGTGGGCCTAAGGCAGTGTCTGTTAAGAGCCCCACACTCCCTCAGCAGCCCACCATACACACAGGGAGACCAGGTTCCCCCAGGCCTGCCCAGGGTCTTTCAGGGCAAGAACCAAGTCAGGCTCTCTCTCCCCAACCTGACTTGAGGCCACAGATGGCTCCAAAAGTTCTAGCCCACTGTCCCCACCAGGCAGCCTTGGGCCTAAGCCCTCTGATTGTTCCCATGGCCTAAAGACCCCACCACCTTTCTGGCCCCACCCCTTTTTCTGCCCTTGCAAGCTCTGCCTGCCTGGTGTGTGTGCTCCCAGGGCCCAGCATTACAGAGGTCCAGAGGCCTACACTTCCTGCTGAGGTGCCACTAGGGCTGTTCCCTAGCAGAGGCCAGGCCTCCTCCCAAGTACCAAGGACCAGAGCTCAGCAGGAGGGGTCGCTCTGGCTCCTGCCCAGCTGCAGGGACAGCACTGAAACCAGGACTGTGACTTCTCCATCTCTTGACCTTGGGACAGCGCAATGTCTCCTCTGACCTCGTCTACCTGTAGCAGACTGTGGCTTCCCTTTGCATGCCCCTGGGAACAGGCTCTCTCCCACTGCAGTCCTCATGGTGGCCCTCAAGTGGCCACGGGTATCACCCCTACCACACAGACGAGCAGACTAAGACTCTGAGAGGGGAGGGTTGAGGGGAAGAGTCAGGGTCACTGCACTTCATGGGGAGCTGACCTGGCTACAAGGGAGTCTGGTCCAAAGCCTTGGGCCACCCAGCCTGGGACTTCTAGGAAAGTCTATTTGGCTGAGCCTTAGGGACACAGTAGGTGACAGTCCTCTGGCCATTGCTGTGCTCCAATGTTCTTCCTGCTTCAAGCCGCAGGGGGCTCCTCTGGGTTGGCGCCAGGATGGTTGGTACCTGTCCCCTCCAAACAGAGCTCCTGAGATAACAGTTCAGAAGTGAATCCAAAGCCCCAGCCCTTCCCATGGGCAAGATCAGGGCTGACCACCAACAGATGGGTACACACAGGACTCAATAGTCTGAGACCCTCAGCCTGGACACCAGATGCTCTGAGACTCCAGGACCAGCCCAAATGTTCCCAACCAGCTGTCGGGCCAGACTCTGGTGGGCCAGACTGGGCATAACCCACTCTGTAAACCCTCCACATCACAGCAACTGTGAGCCTCAGACAGAGCCCTAGGTGGCCCAGGCCAAACCCATGGGACAGCAGTACCCACATGTAGCTTCCCCAGAGGAGCAGAGCCCAAAGGACACTGACCGGAGCCACCATCAGGGCCCTGAGGGCCAGCCCAGCATTGGAAATAAACTTGCATTCTCAGCCCAGAGGCACCCGTAAAACACAAGTGCTGGCTCTGTAGATCCAACCACTCCCCAGTCCCCACCCTGAGGCCCAGGAGCACAGGGGGAAGCTGGGACTGGGAGAGCAGCCCCAAGCTGCAGACAAGGATTCACCCTACAATCCAGGGCCATCCACTGCTGATACCAACTTCCCAGATGGTCACTGTGAGCAGAAATTGCATTTCAAAGTGAAATTTTACAGGGACAGAAGCCCACAAGGTCACACAGGTAAGATCGTATCTGGGGCTGTCCTTGCTTTTTACGAATAAGGAGAAAATAGCTTTTGTCTGTACATGGAGCTTTCTGAAGGCTTCACGGAATTGAGGCTCAGTCCTCAGGACAACCGCTTCATGGGCTTCCTCACTATGACCTCTTTCCTTGTTCTGCAAAACATGCTGAATAAGTTGATATAGTGGCACACACCTGTAATCCCAGCACTCAGGAGGCTGAGGCAGGAAGATATTTCTAGTTTGAGGCTAGTCTGGGATACATAGTTCAAGGCCAGCCTGAACGACATAGCAAGACCCTGTTTCAAAAAAAAAAAAAAAAAAAAAAAAAAAAAAAAAAAACAAAGCG